GGGGGGGAGGGGGAGAGGGAGAGGGAATATTTTTCTTAGACACCTGCTCCGTAGACTTAGTTTAGAAGTCTTGTCAAAATTTGCAGAAAATGACTGGTTCTGGGGATAATTTTCAAAAATGTTTTTAATATCTGTTTTTTTAGAATGACAACACTTTAGTTGAATTTTGAGAGGAAAAATCTCCGAACTGTGCTAATGAGAAAGAGAGGGATTTACCCCTTTCGGAAACACGTAATATCGAGAGGTTGACAAGGATCTCATTATTCTCACTAGCTCAAAAGAAGTCTAGCAATAAAACGATTGTGAATTTCACTTTTATTCGGTAAATGCGAACTGTATAAAGATCAAATTTGCAAGAAGTATTCCTCAAATTCCTCCTTTAAATACTGACCATTGTAAACGAGTTCACCATGGGAGAACAGATTGGGAAGAATGTTAACGCAATCGTTGGAATATAAAGTCCTCTGTTTGATGGATCCATTTCAATGCCTCCTTCAATTGATGTAAAATATTTATTTTTTTGGGATTTATCTTCTGGATTCCGATAACTATTACCTTTTTAATTCATTAGTACATGTTTACTATATTTAGAAATTTCGATCACAAGGGTCTTATAGGGATATTAATAGAGTAGGAATTAAATGAAATTTCATTTTATCATTCACTAATAAACAAATAACTGTCAATAGAAAAGTAGTCTTGGGTTGACTAAGCTATCAACTTTTACTCAAAGTGTTTAGTTCACTACATTATGTCATAACATATAAAAGTTCAACCGTCAAGATTTGATCGCTGCTTTTCTGAATGATTTTGTGTTCACAGTGTGGGGTATGCGATAGACTTACCTCCACGTGGTGCACCCTGGACAACGTATACTCACACGGCAAAAAAAATTTATTAACTGGCAGTTGACTTCTCACTTCAAACTACCACAACCCCCTGGTTGCCATATTCGACCCCTTCCACAGTACTCACCTTACCCTCTCTCTGCCTTTGTGCCTGTTTCTTATATAACCTCGAAACACTCTTCAGTCCCATTTCCCTCTCGACTTTTTTCGTTTTAATGTTCCTTCTCCTCTGTGAAGTATGAAGTCAACTAAAAGGCTAATAATAACTAGCAAAACGCCTGGCATTTGGTATAAATGAATAGTTCACAAATAACCTATAATCAAGGCTAAAACTAGAAACAAATAAATCAATAATTATTCCAAAAGTAATAATCAGAATGGATAAGATTTAGAAATTTCAATATAACACTATTAGATAAAGGGTGATATCGAGATATCATTCAGATAGGTCAGTCTTAAATTTTACTTGACTATTCTTATTCACAAAGCTCTTTCATGGATGAATTAGTTCAAATTTCAGATATAACTACATTTATTTTATAATAGGTGCATTTTAGATAATAAATATCTAAAACGAAAAGAATGTAAATATATTGAGTGTGCAGTGCGAAGATACTGGGACTAATTACCTAACGGAGCAAAATTTTGCCAAAAGCTGAGGCTTTATCATCAAATTTATTCAACGAAATGTTGCTAACCGTGAAACAAATAAAAAGATTAAAATCTGGTTAAGTTAAAGTTTATTCGAATACTAATAAAAATGATATTTAAAGGATCATGAAAATTTCCATTCCTTTTCTCCCTTTTCGCAAACATTCGCTTTCTGAAAACCCATTTTTAACACGTACAGTAAGTACAATTATTATCATAAAGTTTATTATATAAGTAATCAGATCGATTCAGCAGTAATGCACATGTTTTTTCTGTCGTTTAACGCTAGAAAGTGCCAATTATGCATTGGAATATCTACAGGCAGATATACCATGTAAATATATTTTCTTAATCGGATGAAACCATGTAAATATTAGCTTAAAATGACACAAAACGTTTATAGAAGCAGATTTGACATAATAATTTGTGAAAGTAAATGAAGCGATTTCATAAACTTTTTAATATCAAATATGTGAATGGCATACATAAGTTACGTAAAAACATTCATTAATAAAACAAATAATTTTTAATGCAAATATTAAACATCAGAATAATGGTTTCAATTATTAGTGAATATTCAATGTTTTAAGTTTTTGAGTCTTCTCATTTTTTGTGAAACCTACGAATAACTTTAAGCTTACTAAAGAATCTGGCCGATGTTGACATCACAACATTTGAATTGCTAGTAGACTATGTCTAAATGACTTTTTTTCATATTCTTACAATTCTATTTCATTATTTTGATTTAGGACTAACACGTAATATAAATAAGTTAAATGTATTGAGATTTAGAGGAATGTGTATTTTATCCTGTTGTACCACTTGGCATGACAAATCGTTTTATCGGTATTACAAACGAACAGATTACGGCATCCTCATGGTTTTCGGCACAAACAATGCCACATTATGGCCGATTACATATTTCTGAAGGTAAACATGAATGTATTCATAATGTTATTTTTAAGCATTTGATTACGACCCTGCAATACGTAAGTTTCTTTTTAATCACCACAAACAAAGATTCAATTTAAGAGGGTGCTGGAGCATGGGTAGCGAGAAACAATGATGACAATCAATGGATCCAAATTGATTTAAGGAAGAGAACGATAATTACCGCTGTTGCGACACAGGGGCGAAGAGGTGCTAGAGAATTCGTTCAAGATTACTATATACTCTATTCTGATATGGACATCCCTGTACAGTGGGCAATTGTAAAAGATACCCTTGGTGAACCTCAGGTAAACTTATATTGCTAACTATTTATTGAATCAGCTATTCGATGGCAACACAGATGACAATACAGTGAAAGTAGTCAACTTTAGCCGGCCAATTGTTGCACGTTATGTACGATTGAACCCACAGCGATGGCAAGGACTTATTGCCTTGAGAATGGAGTTGATTGGATGCGAATATCGTATGCTTCGAACATAATAATTTTCATTAACTGATATTTAGACCCATTTACTGTTCGATTTGATGGCCAGTCGTGGATTGAAATGCTTTTGGATCAACCTGGAAGGGAGACACAGACGGCAATAGATCAAATTAAATTTCGATTTAGAACTCCAAATGTCAATGGTCTGATATTTTACGGTGATGATAGCCAGAATGACTTCTTTGTAGTGGAATTATTTCGGTAAGTGTTCAGTTTTCAGAACACACAAAGTCACTTTAGAGGTCGTCTTCAAGTCTCTCTAGGTCTGGGTGTCTATCCGTGGTCTACAGAACGAACAGAAAACACCATCTTAGCTGGAAGTCTTTTGGATGATGAAAAATGGCATGACGTCCTAATCGTTAGAAGTGAAAAGAATCTGAATATATCTGTCGATGGGGTTTCTATTTGGAGGAATCTGACGGCTGTCTTTATGCACATGGACATGAATAGGAGGGCATATATTGGCGGTGTTCCGAGTTTTTCTAACAAGAAAAGTATCTCTGTAGCAGAAAATTTTGTTGGATGTATGGAGGAATTCAATTTCAACGGAGTTCAGGTGAGTGAAATCCAGAAAATTGATAGTTAAAAAATTCATTTTGAGAAAATTAAACAAATTAGGACAATAAGCTCTTTTCCACCTTTCTTAGTAATATTTATTTATTTATTTCAAATGGCAGGCGTTTTGATAGATATCATTAGCCATTTAGCTGACTTCGGGCTTGACAGAGGGAAGGTTAATCAAAGTAGCAGAAAGTCGAGGGTGGGGAACAGAAGAGCGATTCACATGAAGCTAAAAGAGGCAGACGGACACAAAGGTAGAGAAAAAGGTAAGGTGAGTACTGTGGAAGGGGTCGAATATGGCAACCAGGGGGTTGTGGTAGTTTGAAGTGAGAAGTCAACTGCCAGTTAATAGACTTTTTTGCCGTATGAGTATACGTTGTCCAGGGTGCACCACGTGGAGGTAAGTCTATCGCACACCCCTTCTTAGTAATATAAACTGAATTTATTTCTTTGTTAAAGTTGTTTAAGCAGATTTATTTTT